TCATCATTAAATTATTACAAGGAAATGGCTAACTGCCAACATGCTCTACTAGAATCAATCTATATTTAGGTCAATTAAAAAAATAGATAGATACAGATTACTTTTGTTAGATTTACTTAACTTCAGCCAATTATGAACGTTTATAGGCTTGTCATCACATTGATGTTTCAGAGCTTAGGTGAAAGCTCTGAATACTACCCACTCATCTGGGATCATTTGGGAGTATAAAGAAAATGCTTAGAAGTTGATGAGGTTATGACATCTTTTATTCATTTACTTTTACCTTAAAAAGTAATCTATTACAAAAATCAATATAGTGTTTGTAGTTAAAATAAATTGTAAGAACATGATTAAAATGAAAGAAAAATTCACCCCCTTCCTTCTCTCTTCCATTCCATTCTTGAGAATTAACCATATTACAGTGTACTCAATTAACCTTTGTATGTAAATATCATTTTTATATAACAGGACATACACATGTATAATATACATTTTCTATTTCCAAATTATAAAAAATGATTATTTTTTGCAAGAAAGTTCAAAGTTGCTGAAAAGAGAATCTTTTGCAACAGCTTTTTTGTTCTGTTCATTTCCCAATTTAAAATATCTCCTGGGCATCTTTCCATGTAAATACATATTCATCAATTCCATTTTTAACACCATATAAGGAGTCATTTAAACATTTTTACTAATTAATTATTAGAAAATTATTTGTAAAATAAAGGAGAATGCACTTAAAATAAAATAGCAACTTAGCTAGGTGGCAACTTGGCATTGTGAAGATTTAATTAGGTAATTCAGAAAAACACTTAGCAAAAGTTTGGCAGATTGTAAATGATTGATAAATAAATATTAGCCATTATCATTTTGATGATAATGATGATTACAGATGACTATCTCTCTAAGCTCACTCCCAGTAAATTTGTATTGTCAGAGAAGTGGTTTCTTTTATTTAATTGCCCAATATATATATAACATTCCCCATGTTATATCTTCATTTTAAGAACCTACTTGGCTGTGTTATATGGTGGAGGTGGGTGCCATGTTCTGGAAGGACTGTTAGACTCAAGTTGGTTCTCTTCAGCCCAGCCCATGGCTACCTAGTACAGTGCCAAAATTGAACAAAAAAAATGCAATCCATCCATCTGTCAGCTAGTGAGGCAGCAAAGAAGGTATTTAGCTTCTAGGGCATTTAAAAGCCTAAATCAATTCTATCTAGAAGAAAAACATCTGCTGGGTGGGACTCACCCCCTCTGAGCCTTTGAGACCAGTGGGGATTTAAACAGGTATAAATAATGACTCTTGAATAGCCACCAGGCAGCCAGTGGTGCAGCCTACTCTCGGGAGATGAATCACAGGCTGCACCGTGGGTAGTAACAAGTCCCAAAGAGAAGGGAAGAGAGGTGTCTAGGATCCTAGGAAAAGCAAGAAATGCAGTCTGTCAGCTCCGCAGCAGAGGAGGGACTATGACAGGAGCCCTCACCCAGAAGGGGTGAATGATAAATCTACCTCGACAGAGAGTGGCCCGTGCCTTGTAAAGCTGATCATTTTGCTGTCCCCAAAACATCTTAAGTGTAATTATACCAGAGCCTGAAAAAAGACTGGGTAAAGAGAAAACTAAAATAGATTTTTTAAAATGCAAACACACAATTCTGCCTACAAAAATGCTAGGTGCCAAGGAAAATATTGTCAAAATCCAACAGCAGCTCCTTCCTAAACTGCAGTGTTCAGAATTCATATGTATATAAGGTTGGTAGTGACTATGGACAAATCATTGCCTACACCTCTGCCAGAACATCTCTCATTTCTCATGAAGCCGGAACTTTAAATATCACAACTAGATCAGAAATAACAGTGATCTCAGAATTATCATGTATGTTTTTTTCTGCTCTGCATGGGAGCATCTGGGGGGCCTAAAATGCCTCACAGCTCTTGAAAAGCCCAGCGCCTTGGAGAAGGGATGCCTTTCAGGGATGCATCTGCAAGGAGGTGGCGCCTTTTGATAATTCACATGAAGGCCTTGCTAGTAGAGGGAGGCTTTACCTTGGCTGGCCGAGAGACCTAGGTTTGGATCTCAGCTAAAGTGTCTTCCAAGAGCACCATTCCTGTTAACACAACATGCCATTCTCACCCCTACAGACTCATAGATTTATGGAGTTTTGAACTAGTTAAATGCCTTGGAAATGACCAATTCCCACCCAATTTGTAGATGAGGGACCTGAAGCATAGAGAAGTGAGATAGTTTGAATATTTGTCCCTACCCCAATCTCATGTTGAATTGTAATCCTCAGTGTCAGAGGTGGAGCCCGGTGGGAACCCGGTGGGAGGTATTTGGATCATGGCAGCAGATTCCTCGTGAATGTCTTGGACCATCCCCTTGTTGATATGCGAGCTCTGATTAACACTGAGATCTCACGGTTCAGAAGTGTGTGGCACCTCTCTCCCACCTCAACTCTCTTTCTTTTGCACCTTTTTTCTCCTTGTGATGTGCCTGCTCTCCCTTGACTTCTTTTTTGGACAGGGTCTCACTCTGTCTCTCAGGCTGGAATGCAATAGCACAATCATAGCTCACCGGAGCCTTGACCTCCCAGGCTCAAGCGATTCTACCGCCCCAGCCTCCCAAGTAGATGAGACCATAGGCATGTACCACCATGCCCAGGTGATTTTTGCCATGTTTCCCGGGCTGGTCTCTAAATTTTGTGTACAGTGTTCTGCCCCCTTTTGGCCTCTTGAAATATTGGGATTACAGGCATGAGGCACCACAAATGGCCTTGCCTTCTGCCATGATCGGAAGCTTCCTGAGGCCTCCCCAGAAGCAGATGCTGCTATTCTTCTTACACAGCTTGAAGAGCTGTGAGCCAGTCAAACCTCTTATTTTATAAATTACCCAGTCTCGGATATTTCTTCACAGCAGTGCAAGAATGGCCTAATACAAAAAGTTTGCCCAAGTTTAAACAGCTAATAATTTTTTTAATTAAATGATATTACAATATAATCATCATCAGGTTTGCTTACAGATTTTTTTTTAACTAATGCATTAGAACTTTATGTACTTATTGATTGAGGTTTAAGCTACAATTTTAAGCAAGGATATGAAAATAACATCAATTCTTCTTGCTCTTTAGATCATAAATATTTAGTCCTTAATACAGATTTCCACATTCTACCACTTCACTACTATACTTCATTTTTAACCAGAATTTTCAGGTCACTTCCTCTGAGAAGTCTTTTTTCCCCTCCAGAATGGGTTGGGCTCCCTCCCCGGTTGAGTAGCCCGACCATCACTTTGGGCTTTCTCTGTGATCCTGTTGTGACAATATCTTGGGATTGTCTATATAATTTTGGTTCTATAGTAACTTACAAGCTCTGTGAAGATTAACACTGACTGGGCATTTTGTTTTTCATCATTGTATCCTCAGTACTTAAAACAGTGTTTGGAAATATACAGGGGAATAAATAAGCATTTGCAGAAAGGAAGAAGAAGGAAGGAAGCAGAGATGGAGGGAGGGACTCATATAGAAATTGATATGAAAAATGAAATAGCAAATGAATGTTAAGGAAAAAGAATTAAAAGCAGATTAAATGTAAATAATTGAAGAGTTACCTAATTTACAAATTCTAAGATTTCTAAGTAAGTATGACAGAGCATAACCCTTTTCAGCAGAGTCTCCTGTTTTTGCCTTTGTCTACTTGCAGATAGTGGTGTTTTAGTCATGTGGCAGAAATGTTCCAAGATTCCTGCCTCCTGGTGTTCACACCTTTGGGTAATACCTCCCCATTGAATGTCGCCAGAAGCTCTTGTGACTTGCTTCTAACCAATGGAATATGGCAAAGGTCATCAGGTGTCACTCTGTGATTATGTTACATTTATGTAAGATTCTGTTTTGCTAGCAGACTGCTCTAGAGACTCTCCTTACTGTCTTGATGAAGTTACAGTAGCAGCCGTGTTAGGAAAGCCTGTGTGACGAGGAACCACAGAGGCCTTTGAGCACTGAGGGTGGTCTCTAGGAGCTGAGGGTAACCTCCAGTCAACACCCAGCAAGAGGCCAGAGCCCTCAGTCCCACAACTGCAAGGAATTGAATTCTGCCAACAATCTGAATGAGCTTGGAAGCAGATCCCTCCTTAGTTAAGCCTCCAGATGAGAATACAGCCCAGTTGACACCCTGCTTAAAGACTGATGAAATCATAAATAAAAGACTCAACTAAGCCACGCCCAGTCTCCTGACTCAGAAAGTGTGAGATAAAAGTGTTTTGTTTTAAGATAATAAGTTTGGGGGTCATTTATTAAACAGCCAAAAAATAAGTAAAACAAGGTGTTTGGTTATCTTTATAACTATTTTTAAAGCTATCAAAATAGTGAAAAGGAAGACAAGCAAGAAATTAAGGAAGGAAGGAAAGAATTAAGGAAAGAAGATAGAAAGAAAAAGAAGAAAGAGAGAGAAAGAAGAGGGAAAGAAGAAAGAGAGAAAAAAGAAGAAAGAAGGAAAGAAAGAAAGAGAAAGAAAGGAAAGAAAGGCAATGAAAAGAAAGTCAAAGAAAAGAAAAGGAATGAAGAAAGGAAGAGAGACAGAAAAAAGAAAGAAAGGGAGGGAGAAAGAAAAGATGGAAGAAATATGGCCTTAGTTAAATTGTATGGATTTTTTTTTTTAGGTTTAATTTGGTGATTTTCAGGTCTGTACAGAAAACATCCGAAGAAATTATAAGATTTTAAGAAAATGACAAACATCAGCAATTTACCAGGTCTGCAAGGGAATGTAAGAAATGTGATAACCCATCAACACTAAGGAGACAAATTTCTGTGAGTGAATTCTATGAATGCATAGGTCTAGACAAGATCTTAAGAAGGCAAGTGGTCTATATGCATCTTCAGGCAAGGCTTTTCCTAAATCCTTCCAAACAATGATGATGGTGATGATATCAATACTGTGAGCATTTATTTATGAGTTCCTCATGTATATCACACAGAATAGGAAGAAAATAATTTTTAGGAAACACCTGATTGTCTATGTACTATACTGCAAACTTTATATGTTATCTTATAGAAAATAGCAAGGCCTCACAATAAACCACAATTATTATTTCCCCCATTTTACACACACACACACACACATATACACACACACAGCCAGCCAGAGACACACGAAGAGAAAGTACCTGACTCTAATTCACCCAGCAATTAAGTTGTAAAATTGTGATTCAAACCAGTATTTAATAGTCCTCAGTATCTGAAAAATTTCCCAAGCAATCTAATTTTCAACTTCTATGCCATCTTCTTAGCCAAAAGATGCTAGATAGGTAACCATCCTAATTTTTCCAATGATTTTACACTTAAAAAAAAACCTGAATATGCTATAAGGTAAAGCAAATTTAAATACTGGGAAATGCTTTGAAAACACAATTAGTAGAAGAGAACTTCAAATGGTTAACAATGTTTGGTAAAATGGTCACCCTCACTAATAACCAGAAAAACACAAATTAAAATGAGATATCCCTTTTACCCATCAGGTTTGTAAAAATTAGAATTTTCAATAATACTAGGTGTTGGTGAGACAGTGAGCCTTGGGAGCCTTTGTACAAGGTTAGTGGAAATCTAGGACTGATGAGGTCAGTTAGCAATGTTTGGAGAAATTTGTGGGTGTACCCCAGACCCAGTGCGAGGATCTCTCATGTATTTTGAGGGAGCTGGGAGCTGGTATCAAGTTCTATTATTAGGGAACAGATAAATAAAATGTATTTCATACACACTGTGGAATAACATGCAGTGGTTAGTAGCAATTAATTAGTACGTATAGCATCATTTTAAAAACATCATGTTGAGTGAATAAAAAGTATGGCAGAAAATAAAATCTATTGCACAACACCACTTACCTAAATTAAAACATGCATACACATAATGAGTTTGTATATTTTTCAAGATATTTATATATTCAATGACATATATCAAACTTATTAGAATGCCTGCTTGTTGGGGAAGGGGAAATGGAAATGAGGTCAGGAATGAATTGAAAAAATATTATGAAGGAAAAGAAGAGAGAGGCCTGACCAGACAGCTAATGATTGAACATTATTAACTACAGAGCGTGACTAACTCATCTCTCAGCACTTGAGGTATCCCCAAAGACAACTAAAAATGCTGTGGAATTAAGCTCTATTGTTATTGGCTAAAGAGCTTATGCTGACCTTGGATATTTGAATTTACAAAAGTATGTACCCAACATTTTATTGGGAAAAGAAGCCACATCAAGAAAATGCAGTCTGAAATGCTGCAAGGAGCAGAGGAAAACTTTTTCTAAAGATAAAATAATTAATTTCTTAGATTTGCGCTTGGAGAAAACACGATGTCAAATGTTTTGGCCAGTGTTAGAACTTGTTCATTAGTCTTATCTTAATGAAAGACAATTTGTTTGACAAAATCATTGCCTTTGAGCAGAACAGTCTCATGGTAGATCATTGCTGTATGTATAAATAGCAAAAAGAGTCTTTCAGCTTGAATTCAACTGTCAAGCCCTCTCATTCACTCACCAGTCAAGGGCTGTGGGACCTGCACACATAGGTTCCTGCGGACACCTCACTTTACAAGGCAGAATGCACCAATGGAATTGTTCTTTTGTTCTGGTCAACTTGGTTTCATAAGGAAGGAAGTACTAGGAAAACCTAACATGTCCTTCTCCAAATAATCACACACTTTTAACATTTTTAGACATAGGCTCCATAATATATTTTCAATCCAGTGTTTTAGGAAGTTAGAAATAATCTATTAATAAATGAATAAATAAGTAAACCAAAAAATGAAAGCAAGCAAAACAAAACAGAAAATCTAAAATATATGTCCTTATCCTGAATACAATATTGACCCTTGGCTACAAACTTGAGGTAATATGTCCTACAATAAATGTTATAATTTGGTTGAAAGTGATTTTGTCCATTTTGATAAGAGAGATGAAGGTTAAAGAAAAAATTGGGTGAATAATAGATAAAAAGTGTAGATAAACTTCATTTATCTATACTTTTTGAGAATTATGGTTTATTTTATGTGACTCATTACTTAACCTGATGACTACTTTTTGTTAGTTTACTTCCCTTTTAAAAAAAATCTAAATGTTTTCAGTAGAATTATTTATTGTTTGCAATGAGTAGGAATTAACTATATACTTTTGGCATAGAATCTCCAAGTATCTGTAACAATTATTGTGATGTAACTCAGTAATGTCTGCAAGGGTCACTGGAATGTGAGGACTTGGCATGATGCAAATAGCCCTGAACTTCCACATGTTTACAAATTCAATTTGCCTTTTCTTGGTATATTTTCTCTCTGTTTTGTTTTCTTTTACTTCTTTTTACCATGATTTTTTTTTTTTTAGCTGTTACACCCTCCCTTGGCCATTCTCATGCCTACCATTGTCATATACTTTTCTGTGTGTGCATGTGTGTGTGTGTGCATGTGCAATATTATATATATATATATAATATATATGTATATATACACATATATAAAAGCATACATAATTATATAAAATATTATATATTTTATATATTTAAAAGTCCATGAGTTTTGTAACAACCATGTAGAGAAGTTACTTACTTGCTGTTTACTTTAGGGTATGTGTACCAACCTCAAATATCCAGGGGAAGTTCTAAAAGCTTTGTAGTACCCAGAGTAGGGAATCCCTTCTGTTCAAAATTATTTTAAATGAACTGTCAAGGTTTTTATTTGGATTTCTCTGATTACTAATAGATATATGCGTTCCATTTAGGGTTCATAGTTCTTTTCATTCTACAAGGTGACCAATCAAAAGCAACATATAGAATATTAGTAGTACCTATTTTATTTTGCAGCTTCTGAATTTTACCAGTAAGTTAAAATAAGCATTTTTTCTTTTCTCTTCTGCTAACTCCAAAATATTCAGAGGCTAACACAATCTGAATCTTATTTAGTTCTTGTTATAGCAATGGCAAAATTTAGCATTGGAAGGTACAAACATTTCTTCATCTGAAGAGGTATGAATAACTTTCTAGCCCTTTTTATCATTAGAATGCTACTCTCTGGTTACAAAGAGTAAACCTAATGAATGGGGCTATGTCTTCACACTTAGCAGTAGAATTGTAACAAAATTACTGTAACCACCTTTTTGATAGAAGCCCTCTGAAGCTGGGCTATTAATATAACCAACAGTACCTAAAGTGTGACCAGCTAACAGAGCCTTTCAAACACCAAATGCTAGCCCCTATTCTTAGTCAATATTCTATAGATAGCAGATCACCCTTTCCCTTCCCTTAATCCTTAAAATAGCCTTAACTGGCAAATATTGTTATCTCATTTTTAAGAATAATAGTAATAATAATAAAAACACTTGGTCCCATTTGGTCACCGTAAAAGAAGATATATCTGGCTATCCAAGCTCTTTTTACGCCAGTTCAGTGGCAAAACCAGCTCTGAATTGGCCTATATTCTCTCAATTTAACAGCCTCCTAGTATCGACCATCATGCCTTTTTCCAGAAGTGCAATTGTTAAAGAAAGATTGGGTGGTCTGGGCTCTGCACCAAGGAATACACCAACAATTTCATCAAATGACCCTCAGAACAGCCTGAATGTCACATGAATGATTTTCAACATGTAAGCATAGAAGGTACACAAGGATAGCAACACTTAAAAGCTCTAAAAAGCATGAACTGTGATATGCTGGGCTCCTGCTGTCACACATAATCCAATAATGTCTTAAATCAATATTAAAACAAACATTTTTTCAAGGGTTCACAGGTTATTTTCATGAAGAGAATTTTTAAAATGAGAAAATTATCTTCCAATTTGTGCCTGTATTTCTTTAATATTATTAAGTAATAATATACTCTCAATCATGATGTCATACTGAGAAAATATTTCCGTGTAAATCTAACATGTTCATGATACTCTCAAGCCACAAATAATGTTATATCACAAATTTACATGTAATAGATAGTTTTTCCCAAAGGAATTTTATTCCTTAAAAAGTGGCAAAGCTTTAGTTCTATTTCTGAATAGTAACATTCAGATAAAGATCACCAACAAGTGATAGGTGGCAATTTTCAATGAAGAAAACTACTGAAAATAATCAAGTTTACCATTAGTGGCAGAAATAAAGTAGTCTACTCTTGATGTAGTCTGTGATATTATAAAACTTTTCAATGATGGTAAATGTAAAAAGAAATATATGCATACATAAAATGTTTCTTCTGATATACATATACATATAAATCAGAAAAAATATAATGGCAACTACAATTTTAATGTAATTTTTACCTAGATTTAAGAATGTCCAGTGGAAAGGTACTTTTAAAGCATAATACAACAATAATGAAAACATCTACAATTCATGAGATTTGAGAATATCAATCTTACACTTTCACCTTAAAGGTCAGAAGTGAATCCATGTTAAAATAATTCCTTTTGTAATTTATCTCAAATTAGTAGTTCACTTGTGAGATTAAGTTATCTGCAACTTCCCTTTAATATTCTAGGACTTCAAAGTTCTTCCTGGGTTTAAAAAATATTTCTGTTTTCTTCCCCTTGATGGATAGGAGGAGTTGTTTTAAAAGAACAAAGCAAACACCTGTGAAATGTGAATGGGCAGTTGTTAAGCATTATATTGGTTTAAATCAGGAGGAAATAGAGGAGAAAATACTCACAAAATGATAATTGTCATCCATACTCTTCAATTAGTTACATTTTCTTTCTTTTTTCCTTCTTAGTGAATGAGAGGCAAATATATCTTTGGCATCCCCAGTGACTCTGAAGTATAAACTCCATCAGATCATCTAGATGCACAACTGTCGGACAACACTATAATAAAGGCAGTAAATAAGTTTGTTCAAAAGACCAGCCAAAATGCCTGAGGTTTCGTCAGTGGCCATGGTTGAAGCTCATCATGATTTGGACAGTGCAGCCGAAGCCTCAAAGACTTATGCACAGAGCAACAACGAAGATACTGTATAATCAACTAGGATTACAGAGGAAAAAGCACAAAGTGCTTTCAGTCCATAAAAGAAGTGATTATCACGAGGCAAGAGAAGTGACTGTTGGATTTAAAAGGCATTCAGATAGAGAGAGTGAAATATATATATATATATATATATATATATATATATGTTACAACCCTGCCCCCAGAAGATGTTGAAATCACAAAGAACAATTTTCAAAGGAAGTATAATAAGCTCACAGATGAAAAACCATTTATACATACCATTTTCAGCTGTACAGTTTGTTAAATGATCTGCAAAATTAGAAAAAGAAACTGAATCATTGTTGAGGTACATTATCTAAGGGGTACATGGGGTCCAGAAAATTCTGTTGCCTCTTTCATCTGAGTCAATGTGAGGTTTGCATTAGTAAGAATTGTGTATTTTTTTAAAAAAAAAGGATAAAAAGAAAAAAAAAAAAAAGAAAGCTAGAGAACTAGTATCAAGCCAAGAAACAAAAGGTAGTCGACAGCATTCTTTTCTCAATGCAAAGAGGGCTTATTGAAATACAACCAAGTACCTTTTTCCTTCAGCTAGTATATGTGAGTTAAAATTTTCCAGTGCTTCTGAAAAAGGTCATTTCTATAAAATGAAGCATTTTAAATATCATTTAATAGCTATTATTGAAATTTGGCTCATGAAAAAACTACAGTTATATTTCTTTCTGTATAGCGTGGCAAAAATATCACTACACATGTCAGCTAATTGTGTAATGCCTTGCTGCTCTTTTGTTTCATGTGCACTTGTATTAACAATTTCAGCTTATAACAGTGATTCTTTCCCTTTTGGATCTCAATACACCTGACATAAACTTTTTCTTCCATCAATAAGAGTGATTCATGACAGCAATCATGAAATCCTTCGTAGGAGACAATGTCGTTAGACTCTCTCTCTAGTTGAAAGTTGAGAAGGGATTGCATAGTTCAGCATTTTCCTCAGGAGATTCTGATGTGACCCCTAGAGGTTATAAACCATACTCCCTTTTGAGAATCATTAGTCTTCCTAGGAGTTATAAACTACCTTCCCTTTTGAGAATTACTGATTTCTGAATGAAGACAAATAATTTATAGTTCTTCTTTAAGCCAAATTAACACACTTCCAGAACACAATGTGCAGATGCTAGATGCACTACGGGCATTCACTCGCCCCACATTTGATAGAGCTAGCACTTTGATATTTTTTCTTGTAGCAATAAAAGATTTATGCCTATCCATCAGTTTGGTTGTGATGCCATGTAAGAAGGTTGCCTGAGGTTAAGGTACTAGATAGGCCATGGGATACAATAAAATTTCACTTTGGCTTATTTGCTTAGCAATTCTAACCAAAGCTAATGAGCCATAGTTCAAAGCCATTCATTGACAATATTAATGGCAGCCTCAGGCCTAAGTAAATCATCTGACCTTTCACTCCATTACTTGGCTGTCAGGAAGCTGAAAGAAGAGCTCAAGCCTAGTCTTGGTTGTGACTACATTTACTAGAACCTGAAATAATGAGTTTTGGTAGCCACACAGTCCTTCCCCCCACCCCCTTTTTATAATTGATATATATTTGTACATTTTTATGGGATACATGTGGTATTTTGTTACATGCACAGAATGTGTAATGATCAAATCAGGGTATTTAGAGTGTCCAGCACCTTGAGTATTCATCATTTCTATGTGTTGAGAACATTTCAAGTCTTCTCTTCTAGTTATTTTGATATATACGCAATACATTGTTGCTAACTATAGACATCCTACTCTGTTATCAAACATTAGAACTTAATTCCTTCTACTTAACTGTGTTTGAACTAATTTATGCCCATCCATTCCTCTATCCACCCACCCCTACACGTTCTTTCTAACTGGTAACTATTACTTTTAACATTACTTTTAAATGGCGAAAACTGCAATTACTTTTGTATCAACCTAATATTTCACTCTGTATCTCTATGAGATGCACTTTTTTAGCTCTTACATACAAGTGAGAACATGCAATATTTGTCTTTCTGTGCTTGGCTTATTTCACTTAATAAAGTGACCTCCAGTTCATCCTTGTTGCTGCAAATGACCAGATTTCATTCTTTTTAAATGAAAGCTGAATAGTATTACATTATGTACATATACAAATTTTCTTTATCCAATTATCCAACAGTGGAAACTCAGGTTGATTCTATATCTTTGCTATTGTGAATTGTGCTGCAATAAACATGTGAGTGCAGGTATCCCTTTGATATAATTTCCTTTATTATGGATAAATACACAGCAATAGGATTGCTGGATAGTATGATTGTTGAGAAATCTCCATACTATTTTTCACAGTGACTGTACTAATTTACATTCCCATCAACAATGTATAAAAGTTCCCTTTTCTCTGCATCCCCACCAACATCTACTATTTTTTTTTTATCATTTTATTAATAGCCATTCTAACTGGGGTGAGATGATATCTCATTGTGGTTTTGATTTGCATTTCCCTGATGATTAGGCATATGGACCATTTTAGAAATATAACTGTTGGCAATTTGTGTGTCTTCTTTAGAGAAATGTCTATTCATGTACTTTGCCCATATTTTAATAGGATTACTAGTGTTTTTTGGTTGTTGAGTTGCTTGAGTTCCTTGCATATTCTGGATATTAGTCTCTATCAGATGAATAGCTTGCAAATATTTTCTCCCATTCAACAGATTGTATCTTCACTCTGTTGATTATATCCTTTGCTGTGTAGAAGATTTTTAGTTTAACATAGTCCCATGCCTATTTTTGTTTTTGTTGTCTCACATTTGAGTTCTTAGACATAAAATCTTTGCCTAGGCCAAATACCTTGTGGTGTTTCTCCTTTATTTTCTCCTAGCAGTTTTATAGTTTGGGGTCTGATTTTAGGACTTTAATCCATTTTGAATTGATATTTTTATATGATGAGACATAGCCATCTAGTTTTATTCTTCTGCATCTGAATATCCAGTGTTCCCAGCACCATGAATTGAAGAGGACATCTTTTCCTCAATGTATGTTCCTGGATCCTTTGTCAAAAATTGTTGGCTAGTGGGTTTATTTCTGGATTCTTTGTCATTTGTTTGTTTGTTTTTGTCTTCAAGACAGAGTTTTGCTCCATTTTCCCAATCACGGTCCACTGCAGCCTCAACCTCCTGAGCCCAAGCGATCCTCCTGCCTCAGCCTCCCAAGAAGCTGAGATTACAGAAGCCAACTATGTGCTTGGCTATTTAATATTTTTTAGACGTGGGGTCTTGCCATGTTCCCTAGGCTGTTTTTGAACCCCTGGTCTCAAGTGGTCCTCCCACCTTGGCTTCCCAAAGTGCAGGGATTACAGGTGTAAGCTACCATGCCTAGCCTTGGGTTCTCTATTTTGCTCCATTGGTCTGTGTCTGTTTTTGTACCAGTACTATGCTGTTTTGATTACTATAGCATTGTAATATATCTTGAAGTCAGGTAGTGTGCAAATGCATGGTGGCAGCCTTGCTGCTTGATAGATGGGGTCATAGTCAGCTGTGTGGGCTTTGCCTCCTGGTAGCAGCAACAGTGGCTATGGTAGGTGATAAGAGACCCTGTCCTTAGAGTGTGATTGCAACAGCCTTGCTGCTTGGAGCAGGGTCATTGAGTGTGGTAGCTTTCGCAGGTAGATGGTTCTTTGGCCATAGAGAGTATGTGCTTTGGCTTTCTTTATCCTGGGGCAACCTCCCTAGTATGCTGCACTGCCTTTACCTGGCGTACAGGGCACTGTGTGTGGTAGAAAGCTGAGGACTCTGCCACCCTGCTGGGTCTGACTGGTGTTATTGCTGCTGCAGCTCTCTGGGTGGACACAAAAGGGTGTCATTGGGGCTCCAGGGATGTGAAGATGCAGAGGCTATTGGGCCCCAAGGCAGGATGCAGACCCCAGTCAGGTCTAGGCTCTCAAAATGGCACCATCTTGAATCTGTTTAGGACTTGGTGGGTGTGTTGGACCATTATGAACTCCCTCTCTAGAGCAATGTCCTTGTGTCATCCCCAGGCAAGTCCCTATGTTATTCTCAGACCCTGTGATGGGGTCTCCCATGGGTAGGGTCTCAGGAGTCCATGATGGGAATATGGACAGCTGAGAATCTTCTGCTTACTCTTTCCCTGCACTAGGGAGCCTCTATAAGCTCCCAGCTGATCCGAGCCGAGCTGGCTGCATCCCTTCCTGTTCCTTCCATGCCTCAGGTGCTTCCTGTTTCTTCTCTGTTGAATTCCAGTATTCTCAGATGATCTATTCGAAGTCTGATTATGTATTTTCTATTTTGGTTCTTGTCTGTGGAGGAGGTGAGTGTCAGATGCCTCTAGTCAGCCTTCTTGAAGTTTCTCTCATACAAGTCTTTATGTCTTTCATGACAATCTTACTATCTCAGTGAATGAATGACTATATGACAAAACTATCTCATTATAGGTAGGCATCATCACACCACAGTGGATACCATGGTAGGCACCATGTCCCTATTCAAAATTTCAGCACTCATTTTCCCAGATGCCAGGAGTATTCACTGCTAATGGCTCACAGTTAAACCCTTTTCCCAGCATTGGCCTGGATTAAGACTATATTTCCTCCTGAAGAGAGTGTGGGGCAACCTGTATACAATGCAGGGCCAGGACTAGGGTGAGAAACTGGCCTTGAGTGCTAAATTTAAGCAGGTGCCAAGATCTCAGTAATCAAAATAAACAATATTTTAATGTAATATTTTAAAAACAAAAATGCAAGGGTTCTTTAATGATCAAAATATAATTTTAAATAAAGATATATCTAATATGATTGATTTTTCTCTTCACTTAAGGCTCTAATATGGCTTCCCAAAGCCCTCTATTTTAAAGTGTTATTTAAAAAACACAAACCAATGCAAAAGTTCACCCTGAACAAAATACTAAAATTTGTAAATAAAGACTGATTTTTGCATTAGTTTAGTTTTTTTTAAAAAAGAAATGCATTAAGATATTATTTATCTTGGCTACTGAGCTTTTTGGCACCCTCTAAATTTTGTCCTCAAGGCACGTGCCTCACTCATCTTATGTAGTCCCAGTCCTGGCAGGTTGACTCAGGGAATATTTCCTCTCTCCCTAGTAATGACCCTCGTGATTATATTTGGGACTACATGGATAATGCAGCGTATGCTCAAGATCCCTGACTGGATCACATCTGCAAAGTTCCTTTTGACGTGTAAGTTAACACCTTCACAGGTTTTAGGGATGAGGATGTGGACATATTTGGAGGGTGGGGGCGTTATTCTGCTCACGACAGGGTCTGATATAATCAGAGGCCCACTTCCTTGAAATCAGAAAACCTGATTTCTAGTCCACAATTAGGAAATTCAATTAGGAAAGTGCATAGATTGTTGGTATCTCTGTTTTACCTTTGATTTATTACAGTGTAGTCCAAAATTCTGGCCCTAGCCTATAGAATGTTATGATGAGAAGCACTGGCTTTAAAGTCATACTAACTTGAGTGGGTTTTGGGGGTTTTTTTGTTTGTTTGTTTGTTTGAGAGAGGGTGTTGTTCTGATACCCAGGCTAGAGTGCAGTGGCATGATCATGGCTCACTGCAGCCTCGACCTCCCAGGCTCAAGTGATCCCCACACCTCAGCCCCACAAGTAGCTGAGACTACAGGTGTGTACCCACCATGCTCAGCTAATTTTTTTAGTTTTTGAAGAGATGGGGGTCTCACTATGTTGGAGATCCTCCAACACATCATTGGAGATCCTCCTACCTCAGCCTCCCAGTGCTGGGATTACCATCATGAACCACTGTGCTTGGCCTAACCTGTGTTTTCATCACGTAGGAATTCTGAGAACTTGGGCAAGTTCTCTGTGAACTTCAGTTTTCACCTCTCTTCTTTGGGGAAGCCTTAGAGGAAACAGACTCAGAGACTCGGTTGCAGGAGTACTCTTGGGAATAATGCTGGTAAGGGAGTGAACAGAGCAGGATTGGACTGCAATAAAGTCACAAGGAAGGCTTCAGCTAATCCCAGAGAGACTATGTTGATGGGATGGCCTCTCAGCATGGCCTCTCTTTAAGGCAAAGGAGAGAGACATTGGTAATCCCTGAGTCATTGGTATTCCCTCTCTCGTTTATGTTCAAGATATTTTGATGATGCTCCAAATTCTCTTGTTCTGGCTTCCAGCCAAGGCATTTTGTCCTCTTCCTTACAACTAATGTAAAAAAAAAAAAAAAGAAAAATGCTTCAACTTTTTAAAATAACATTATATATATAACATAATAAAATAATAATCCAATAGACCCGTATGTCTAATCAACAAAAAGAATTTAAAAACCTCAACTTTTGCTCAAATGCAAGAAGAGCTAAAACTCCAGACTCTTCTAGCACAAGGAAAGAGAAATAACAACAGTACAGCTGGTTCCATATTAAAATGATAGGAATGTTCATCTCCTTCCACAATTCAAAAAATACCACTGAAGAATCAGAAGTAAAAATTGTGCTTGTATAAAGAGCTCCTGGATTGTGTTGGCTTCCCATATTAATCATTTCTCTCCTGCTTTCTTGTAGATAGCCCCGCCCATCCTGGACTTCCATCTGTCGTGAGGAGAACATGACCATCTGGAGTCAGTACAGATCATCAATTTTTTCACATATACAAGTTCCTTTTAAGTTTTTAAAAATATAATACAACTAAGGGGTCTTAATAAAGGGATCCATTACAACTCAAAGCCACATGGGTGATGCTGTAATGCCAGGGCCGAAACTGCTTTAGGGCTCTGTTAGTTTTGTATTACTGCTATAACAAATTATCACAAACTGAGTGGCTTCAAACATCACAAATTTATTTTCTTACACTTCTGGAGGTCAGATGTCCAAAATGGGTCTTAGAGCTAAGACTAAGGGGCAACAGAGCTGCCTTCCTTCTGCAAGCTCCAGGGAAGGCTCTGTTGCTTGACTTTTCCTGCTTCTAAAGGCTGTCTGCATTCTTTGTCTTACGATCACATCACTAAGACCTCTGCTTCTGTCATCTTATTTCCTTCTCTAGCTTTCCTGAGAGAGTACGGTTTCACTTTAGGCAGGAAGCGAATTCTCCCAGGGGGATGAACTAGAAAAAGGGCGAGAAAAATACCACGTGTATATGAGTAGGAAGATGAACAAAAGGGGGATGTGGGAGATAGTTACAGTTAAGCGGACTGGATCTTAAGCAACTTCACCAATGATATTCTTACCCCAAATGTATACCAGCAAGATATGGTTCTACTGCCAGTGACCTCATAAAAGCAGAGTCATCACTGGAGAAAGCCATAGCTCCCATCTTGATGGCCATCTCCTACCCCTGAGGCCTCAGTTAGCTGCCCTTGCCTTCTGCATC